TTAATATAGGTATTTTACCATCCTCTCCCTTATCCCTAACTTCTAAACGAAAATGGTCATTGGAGCTGAGCTTATAGTGCTGAACCGAAAAAAGCCCACCGTCTGGATCGCGTGCGTCTTGTAGAGGAATACGTACTCCAGGCAACACCGATTCAGAAATCTCCAACGTTTTCTCTTTATCCGGGAAACTTGGTGAATGGTCGTTTATATCCAGGACCTCCACTACAACATAATGTACCTCCAGGGGGTCTTCTAGGACTGTCTTCAGATTCATTAAACACGCACTGGTTATCGAGCACACCTCTTCCCTGTCAATCTTGCGGCTCACGCACAGGACACCATCATTCTGATTTACATGGAAAAGATGATCGGCATTACTGGAAACAATCCGATACTTCCTTTCTTTTAGAGTATTTTTATCTAAACCAAGATCCTTCGCTATATTTCCAACCACAGTTCCTTCGTTTACTTCCTCAGAAATAGAATATCGTATTTGCTCCGATGCCACTCTCCACAGAAGCACAGCAACCACGCAGCCGAAAAAATATCCTCTCGCTCTTCGTGCCTTGAATGTTCTTTGTTCCATGATTAAACCTAAAAACACTAATCCATCCTAGGAACCACAGCTTCGATGTCTGAAAGAACTCCAGAAAGGTTTAAAATAATTAGCCTCAAATGTATCCAGATATCGGATGGAACCAACTATCTACGCAAAATAAGCAGACACGATCCCATCAGCATCGAAGTGAGTATGTTGTCAGGAGGTAGAACCCAACAGCTATAACACAAAGCTCATGTGACGATGATATTTCATGTTATACTGACACCATGCGACCCTATTCCCACTGCAAATAATTTGCATCGTATCACTGTTTTTTCGGAATACGAAGAAAAACCCTTCCAGCACCAGGGACACATTGCGTTGTTTTTTTAATTAATTTTTTTATCATAGTTTTTTAACTATAGTATAGCAATTGAATACGCTCATAAAATCATGAACACAATGCACTCAACATGAATCAAGCTCAAACTGCCGCAAAAAAATAAATAAAAAAGGAGCCCAATTCAAAATTGAGGATTTATGAATGATTAAATAATGATTTATTGAAATGAATCATTATTTTTCCAACGCAATTGACTGGAGAAACCAGATAAGTGAGAAAATCAACTGTGAACACATTATCTACAAACGAAAATAGTAAAAAATAAACTAGGCCACCTCAAAGTGTTTAAATAAATGTCTTACCTCTCCATGTGTCCTCCTGTCAGGGAGCATCAGTGTATTCGCATGGCTTCCCGGGACTATAGTAGATCCAATACTCATTCTGGGTCCAACTAACATGTAGCGCTTCTCTCCAGATCTGTACTGGATGCTGTGACAAAGTGTCCCGTCATAATTGGTCTCTTGTAGATATTTAGAAGTATACTCTGTGGATTTAGAGCACTGCATTGCAATCAGCACGATGATACTGATGAGAAAAAGTGTTGAAACTGAGCCCAAAGTTATCATCAGGTAAAAAGTCACGTTATTCTCCTCCTCGTCATTTGTTGCACTTTTAACATCCGAAGCAGCAAAAGCCTCTTTGGGCTCCACAACTTTGACAATCACAGTAGCTGTTGCTGAGAGTGAAACGTTCCCGTTGTCTTTCACCAGTATGACCAGTTTATGCTCAGCCTCGTCCGTCTCTGTGAACGAGCGAAGTGTTCTGATCTGTCCTGTATAGCGGTCCAAGCCAAAGAGACTGTGGTCAGTAACTTCCTGCAGTGAAAACAGTAACCAGCCGTTATATCCTATATCAGCGTCATAGGCTCTGACTTTAGTCACCAAGTGTCCTGCGTTCACATTGCGGGGAATCTCCTCCACACCTTCAGCAGAACCGTTAGAGCTGAGAGGATACAAGATGATCGGAGCGTTGTCGTTCTGATCCAGAATGAACACGTGCACCGTGACGTTGCTGCTCAGTGATGGAGACCCAGAATCTGTGGCGACAACTTGAAACTGGAACGTTTTCAGGGTTTCAAAGTCAAAACTTTTTAGTGCAGAAATGTGTCCATTTTCAGAGTTTATTGTGAGACTGATTGAATGGAATTCGTCTTTATCTTTTCCATCTCTGATAATATGATATAGAATACGAGAATTATCTCCCTCATCTCGGTCTGATGCATGCACAGAAAACACTGAAGCTCCTGGAGGATTGTTCTCGGTAACATAATAGGTGTAAGGGCTTCCTGAAAATTCTGGGCTATTATCATTCACATCTGATACAACAATATTCATACTTTTTTTAGATGACAGTGATGGTGTTCCTGCATCTTTGGCAACTATTGTAACGTCATATATGGACTTCTTTTCTCTATCCAGGGGTGATTTTGTGACAATAGAATACATGTTGTCTTGTGTTGAAGGAGATAATATGAATGGTACATCCTCGTTAAAGGAGCAAATCACTTTTCCATTAAGACTAGAGTCTTTATCGATGACACTGATTAATGCCACTGTGGTACCTAACCTCGCATCCTCTGGTATTGCCTTTGAAAATGATGTGATCTCTATATAAGGGGTATTGTCATTCACGTCAACAATTTTCACAATTACACTTTTGTCTGTTCTCAAAGGAGCTGCCCCTTTGTCAGAAGCCTGTATGTCAATTATAAAACTTTCCTCTAATTCAAAATCTATCAGATCTTGAACAATAATTTCACCTGTATTTGCATCCGCACGAAAATGTCACGTATTCTACTGTTCACATTCTTTCCTAATGAATACACAATCAGTCCATTGGATCTTCATCTAATCGA